GCTCGTACTGCCTGATTTTAGCGAGAGAACCGATCATTGTGTGGTAGGCTCGAATGCTGTGCTCGTAGTTTCTCTGCTTGCCGGCCCACAAGAAGAACCGGTGGGCCAGCATGCCGGCATTCTCAAATTTTATGAGGACATTCTCGACTACTTCTTCGGGAACCCGTATGCCGCTCTGATCGAGGGTGGTATCGAGGCCGAGTTTCGGGCAGGACATAATGATTTTGCAGACCCTTTTTGTGGTTTCATATGGGTCCTGCACCATCTCCCCTGAACTGTAGGGTCTACAGGAAGTTGACATTTTGAAGAAAATTTTGCTCCGGCTGCAAATTCCGGCGGCCATCTCCGGTGGATGTGTAAATGAGTGTGGCTGATAAATTATGGGTAGCTAAGTTGCAAAATAGTACGTGGAGAAGAGAAATAAATAATTTACATCATCACTTACCCAATACAACAAAGAAAAAAAAAAAAATCAAAATAGGCATTTCATCGAGCAGGTTGTGGGCAACATGATTACAGGCACATAACTGTTTTTCTAAAGCTGAGACTCGCTCACAGCTTCGATCCGATGAAGAAGAGACAAGAAAATTCCAAAAAAAACAAGAAACATTTGAATCAACAAATCAAAGATTAAATCTTTATTGCTCAGTTAGTATTTTCCTCTAAAATATCTGCTTTTGTTCTTCGCGAGCCGCACAGGGTGGTGGATGTTATGGTGGTGGGCTGGGCTGGGCTGGGCCTTTTTAACCATATTAATGATTGCGGGCTTGTGATATGGCCCTACTAGTTGTGCTTATTATATTTGAGAAATTTACTCCTCTTACCAGTCCATTCAATCTTAGTTTTAAAAATACGATTACATAGAATTATTATTATGAATACCACTACCTTTTAAATACACGGTTACTGTATTAAATATGGCTTAAGGTTAGTTACCAAGTATATTCTTTTATTCAGTTTCCTAATGCTGATAAATATCAGTTACCAAATTTCACAGTGATCGTGTATATTCTTCTTTACCACAAATTCTCCCACACCTCTATGCAAATTTCCATCTTTCTCCAAATCTCCAATTTTCACCATTGATGTTGCCAGGTATCTCTCTACTGCTAAAAGGAAAAATAAATATCGCCATTTTTGTTTCTCTCTGCTACATCAAAACAGATCTAGAAGAAAAAAAAAAAAACTAACACTACCACGGTGATTACGATTTTGTATAAGAACCAAGCATCCAAGAACAAAAAATAACTGTTT